GCCTAACATATGTATTTCATTTAATAAACTTGGTCAAAACAACAAAATAAAGAAAGGAGGAGGAAGAAGACTTAACGGGGCGGAACGAAGCAAATCACTGATCACCACAAAAAGAAGATGGTAGCTGATCGGAAAACCAACGGAGAGAGAGGAGGGAGGAAGTGGGATAGTGTGTGCCTCTAAATTGAGGGGGAGAGGGGCTATTTATAGGTGAGTAGTCGAGGTTCATCGGCTGGAACAATTGAGCTCCCTTTAATTGATCCCTCGATCACCGTGGGCTAGATTATGGATTGATTTGAAGATCAATGTCAAGTAGAGGGGGGAGCAGTTGGAGCTCCCAGGGATTGCCGACAACCAAAGGGATTCCACGAATCGTCAACAGATTCTTGGCAATCTGGTCTACGCCTCTCCCTAGTTCTAATGACGTGGCTACAACGTCGCAAGAAGGGGGCGACGTGTCTAGGCCGCCTCACAGCATGGCCACATCCAGGCTAACCATGCGCAACCACGCCAAAAAAGGCATGGTTACACCATTGCTAGTGTAACCAGGTCTAGGAGTAACTTGGTTACGCCGATCGAGGCTAGGGCTCGCGGTCGTTTTGGTTCGTTCCGAGCTCGAAAACCCTACCAACATGGAACATCTCCCCCAAGGGAAGACAAGTGATTATTTTTTTATTAATAAGTGGTCTCCAAATCGTGCAAATTTAGGTCAAATTATTGGCCCCATCCCACAATAGAAGTTCGAGATTTTAGATGGGCTTCAAACTGGTCAGATTTGATGTTTTTAGCTAAATTTGATTATATTTTGAGTTTGGAGTTGATTTGAGTTCATTTTGAGGGACAAATTGTAACTAAAATATCCTAATTATTTTCCAATTATAATAGGCTATAAATGCCCCAAAATAGAGTTCAATTTTGGCACGAAGGGGCGCACTTGGAAGATTTCAATTTGTAACTAAAATATCCTAATTATTGTCCAATTATAATAGACTATAAATGCCCCAAAATAGAGTCCAATTTTGGCACGAAGGGGCGCACTTGGAAGATTTCGACTATTCGGGTAATTCGTGAAGTCTGTTTTGTAAAATAACGTTTCGATGAAAATTTTTTATGCGGAATGAGTTCTTATGCATGAAAGCTCTCAGTGCAAAATCTCGCATAAAAAGTTTTCTGATAGCCTTTGAAACTTATTTTATGCCATCCATATATCAATAATGAACCCAATGTAGCTCATAGCCTGAAATCTAAAGCACTACAATTATCTATAGAGGAAATGATAATTTTGGGACAATAAACAAAATTATTCATTGAGCTGTATTTCAGTCCAACTTTAAGGTTTGATTGAAGTTGATTATATTTAATCTTCATTTTTCGTGTTTTATTTTCATTGTTTTAAACATTTAGGGTGAAATGGCGAGCTAACAGAAAGTTTTCTGCTTGTTTTTGGGGTCAGTGGGGTTGGTCCACATGTCATCGCTTTATTATCATCCAGACGTGATTATACGTTCGAAAGCCAGACGCAATATTTCTTCAAAAAGAGCGAGAGATGAAAACAGACGTGCGAAAAGGAGAGTGGTATAGAGAAGATGGGTCGGTTTGGATTGGATTTTTCTTTATTTTGTATTTATAAGGTGAGGTGGAGGCTTTGGATTGGATAGAGTGGTGGTGGCTATATGGGTAGTGAAGTGCCATTGGCCAGTGGCTTGGTGTGGAAGTGAATGAGAGGGTTTTTAAAAATTTTTCATCTTAAATTTTCTAATGAACTGGTCTCGATTTGTTTGTCGACGATTGATGCACAAAAAAATATAACATGATAGTTATCCCTCTTAAACAAAATCGTCGTTCCAGACACGATTGTGTTGTCCGTTTTACGATTGGATGTCATTTGAGTGACTTCATTGTTCATCGACACTTGAGAGCCAATTCAGTTTTAAATCACGCACGTCGCTTCGGTGGACCATCATTTTCATCTTGTTTACTCATTTCGATTGTGGAAGTCTACTTAGATAATTTTGTCCCTCCGAATGTGCTCGTGCGATCAATTTTATGAACGAAGGTCGTCTTTGTAGCTTGGAATCCGTCGTTCTCCATCCTCCTTATGTTAGATCTATTAAGTTAATGTGAATTTAGAGCAGATATGATTGATGCTCTTGAGAGAAAGCCATATCAACAATGAAAAGATACAACTACTTGGGGACATTTACATATGTGCCACCCAATTA